CACTTGATTTTGTTCTCTGGGGGCAACCTTTGCCCCTTAGGACTACTTGTCCATGCGATGAGAATACCACTCATCTTTAAGTACACCCCCCAACTCCTTGGGTTGTTCCAGCATTTATTAAAGGTAGCCCCGGCTACCATTTCAAGGACTTGAGTCCTCTTCCGTATTTGACCTTCCACGGTCATTACCTTTGGTCTCACATTCATAAGCACCAACCTCAACTATATGAGGATAATCTTGTGACTCCTTTATTGTTTTGGAGTCTCTATCTTTCCCGTGATCCCAACTTTAGTTGTTTACCACAACAACCTTAGCCAATTTGCTGAGACAAATGCTCATCCGGATCACATCCTCAACTCAATGAGGAAAACCTTACACTGTTCCCAAGATCCCAAAGTCGTTCCATTATTGGCCCTTTTCTATCCACCACCTCGTCTACAAGTTCACACATGAACTGTAATGGAGAGCCATGTCTTCCCGACTTGCTACTCCTCAAGGATAGGCTCACTCCTCGGACCTTCCGATGCCAACACTAGTGGTGATATACTTGAGCACCAATAAAAGTCGGACTAAGGAACGGCTCCGATACCAAATTGTAAGCGACTAATTTTTCCATTTTACTTTAGTCACTTAACCACACCTCTGACCACTTGGAGGAGTCTCATTGACCACCTCCATAAGTCCAACTCAGGACTTGGGGCTTGCTAGCCCCGAGAATGGCATCCATGCCACTCAACCTTAGCACTTGGTCCAAGTGCTCCACGTGTCCGATCCCATGATCGACAACCCAAGGTATCACCGACGTACCGGCCCGTTACGCTAAGGCCATGCCCATTTAACTTGGTCACACTGGTGGTCCAACACCACTTGCATCACCGTCTTGGCCCTCCAAGACTAGGCAACCCATCCGTGAGTGGTCATCTCAGATCCACTCCTTAGCATCCTTAGGATGCCCACCAACAAGGGGAATAGCCTTCCCCAATATCCCTCTGTCAGTCCCCACTAAGTCCCTTTCTGCCCCTGGCCGTGTTTGCCAACACTGCCACTAGATCGAGACCCACAGGCCCGACCTCTAAGTCCCACGGTCCTCTGGGACTTCCTCACCACACGACTGTGTCCTTGGTCACTACCCCAGAGGATTGCTCCTCTTCCTTTCCACAGTCTGGGCCTTTGGGACAACATTTTGGAACACCGTGGCCTTACGCAAGTCACCTGGGTACTCTCCTCGCCTTCTGCCCTTGGGTGCTCTAGCCATGGGCTTAGAGCGGGTTTCGTTGAGCCACACCAGGTATCCAAGTAGGTAGTGCCACCCACACTTGGACTGGGAGCATCGGCCAGTCGATCTCCCGGGGGAACTAGAGCCGGCTCTTGAACACTTCACCAAGCTACCCCGCTTGTCGGTCTGTGTTCACTCTAGTCTTGGACTTCCCAGTGGGCAGCTCATCACCCAACACTGGGTCTGGCCTTCCTGGGCCAAATTGGCCTTTCCTGGCCAAACTGGCTCCACTGCAGTCCTCCCCCTTACTATACTTTTGGAGCTCACCAAACCCCCCAGGGTCTGGGAGACGAACGCTTTGGGCTTTCACCCTCTCAGGCTCTGGACTCGGACTCGGACTCGGACTCGGACTCGGACTCGGACTCGGATTCGGACTCGGACTCGGGCTCGGGCTCGGCCTCGGCCTCGGTCTCGGTCTCGGTCCCGATCTCGGTCTCGGTCTCGGTCTCGGTCCCGGTCTCGGTCTCGACTTCGGACTCCATCTTGGACTCCATCTCGGACTCCATCTCGGACTCCATCTCGGGTCCATCTCGGGTCCATCTCGAACTCCATCTCGGACTCCATCTCGGGTCCATCTCGGACTCCATCTCGGACTCCATTTCGGGTCCATCTCGGGTCCACCTCGGACTCCATCTCGGACTCCATCTCGGACTCCATTTCGGGTCCATCTCGGGTCCACCTCGGACTCCATCTCGGACTCCATCTCGGACTCCATCTCGGGTCCATCTCGGACTCCACTTCGGACTCCAACTCGGGTCCATCTCGGGTCCACCTCGGACTCCACTTCGGACTCCATCTCGGGTCCATCTCGGGTCCACCTCGGACTCCACTTCGGACTCCATCTCGGACTCCATCTCGGGTCCATCTCGGACTCCACTTCGGACTTCAACTCGGGTCCATCTCGGACTCCACTTTGGACTCCATCTCGGACACTCCCACGTGTCATGTGTTGGTCCTTTTGGGTCCCTTTTTGGAGCCTCGCCTTTTGCTCGCTTTGTGCTCGTTCCTCGAGCACTTCGTTGGGAGTTCCACTCCTGCTCTTGACTTTTCAAGTCGGAGCTTTTGGTCCAAACGTGTTACGCTCGTTTGGCTCTCGCTTCGGCCACTACCATGTGGCGCCCTTCCGGCTCCACTTTGGGGCCTAGGGATTTTGTGTCTCACACCATGTACTTAAATCGGATAAACATAAGGTTGGAACCCTATATGTTTCTTGCTGAGCATACTTGGCCTGGTTTGAGAAACTCCTATCATTGTTTTGCACTTGCTAATATCAAGAACCCTCGCATATTGAGATTAATCCCTCAATATCGTTGGATGATAGCTTACCGTGTTTGCCAAACACCCTTGTTATCATGCTCCCTGTGTTAGTCTCATTTCAGTCCTAAATGCTATTTATGGAAAATGTTTAGATTCGCCCATTTGGCATATCTACAGAATGTAGAGATTGGCTTGAACACAATGGTGTTCGCCCTGTGTCCAAATTCGCAATCTAAGGACATTCTGTATTTAATAAGTTTCAAACTTATCCCAGAGACTAACTCCTGGTAATAAGGGAGCCTTGGGGTGAAAGCCCAAAGCTTTCACCCTAAGGTGAGCGTGTGTCTTGAGAAGGGGGGGGGGGGGGTGTGGTGTGTGTAGGGGGTTCCAAATGTACAGTAGGGATAGTGGTTGGAATGCATATGCGACAACCTGAGACATTAGTTTGGCTTTTGCTGGGCCGTGTTGCTCCTTGTTCTGCATCTAGCTTGGGTCTAAGCCCAAGCTCCACGCTGCTTTAGTCGGTGGGGTACCCTCCTCCTCGCGTTAGGCCTTTGGTATGCCAAAATTGTGCCAGGCTCCATCTGACACCATTTTGCGTGCAAGTGCTGGATATGGGGAGTTAGTGCTCGTGGGATTATATCGGACCCTCGTTTCGTAGAGCAATGGGCTTAGAGTTCAACTCCAAATTCATATGCGCTACAGTGAACGCTGCCATCAACTGAATTTAGTTGTTCAATTGCAAGCATATAGCATCAAACAATTGTACCAACTGTTGCTCTAGAGTCAAAAGAGGAAATTGCTAATCTATCATGAAGATGAACGAAAAGGAAAGAGCAAAAGAAAAGAAATGACAAAAAGCTAAAAGGAAATGGAGATTTAGACAATGCAAAAAAACTAGATTTAAACCAAAATCTTGAAAGGAAAGAACAAAAGAAAGGAAATAGAAAAAACTAGATCTAAATGATGCAAAAGCTAAATCTAAACCAAAATCCCAAATCTAAGTACTTCTCAGGGACAATCAAAAGTGCCTCTTAACTCCACCAATGTGAGTGTATGGAATATGGAAAGAGAATATAGAAAATATACATATCAATTAGCCTAAAAACGCTAACTTATATACAAGAGCGAGTGGTCCAAATTGAAACCAATCTGACGGCTACCAAAATCCCACTATGCTAATATTAGTATACGGCATCATAATTGTACACTTGGCCTTCACAGCTAATATTTCTTTAGTAATATATTATATATAATATATAATATATTACTATTTTAGAAGTTTACTAATTATTAGTTGACTTGATTAAATAATGAAGTCATTATAAATAAAACTTACACCTTACAGATAAGTAAGGAATGGCTAAATTCATATTATTTGCTGTGTTTTCTTTAAATTTTAATTTTTGTTTATCTATACAATTTGAGCATGCTAATTCTCTTGCAATCTCAATTCCTACAACAAGATTCATAATAAACAGAATTCAAGAAATAACTAGAGAAATGTTTTATGATAGAGAAAGATATGAACGTGGTGTAAGATATAGTTCAATCTTTCCAATAACTTATAATCAAAGAGGATTGCTTACAATTTATATTCATAACCATAATCATGGAATAGCTGGTGGAACTTGTACTGCAAACCCAAGTAATATAAATACTGTATTTGGGCGCACTGCAATAATTGCTTTAGATAGTATTATGACAAATTCAATATTATTACTAGAAACATATTGTCCAAGCTATTTTAAAGCAAGTACAGTTGGATATGCAATAGAATTTCTAATTAAAGATAGGCTATATGATAATAGTTATGAAAGTAATGTTGTTATAGTTTCAAATACTTATTCTTTATATGATGAAGATATATATTGTAATTCAATAATTACAACCACATTATTTAGTTGGTGGCCTCATAATATACTTGAGGCAGAACAATCATTATATTCTCCAGATCATAATTTTAAGTTAACAATGCAAAAAGACTGTAACTTAGTTCTTTATTATGGCAATAATCCAAAATGGACATCTAATACATATAAAAAAGGATTAAATTGTCATCTCATATTGCAACACGATGGAAATCTTGTAATTTATAATAGTTTAGAGAGTGTTTGGCATAGTAACACTTATTGTGGAGTTGAAGAATGTTTAAGACCATCATTCTTATCTATGCAGAATGACTGTAATTTAGTGCTTTACACTATACCTTCGTCTAGGAATGATCATGTAGCTCCTTCATGGTCTTCAAGTTCAATCAATTGTATTTAAATCTTGATACACTTTTAAATTTGAATAAAATCTATAATGTACACGACACACGACACAATGGTACTACAAGGCTTCTAGAGATGCCCAATGAGAGAACTGGCAGCTTGAAAGACAATCATCTCCATGGTCATATCCACACGCACAGCACGGAAGAAACTATGGAGCTCATCTATTTTGATGCCAAGCAAAAACATGATTGCATAAATGTTTGAGCCGGATTTCATACCGTACGCAAAGCTTTCCATTCAAACTTCATACACGCGACAATTTCCATAGTTATTTGTATGACCAAGGTGAAAGTGGAACACTCTTTGCTTTTCACCTCTTGGGATTGTACGGACAGGTAAGCTGCGTCAGCAGCTGCGAAGGGTCATAGAATACCTCCAGTCTTCCTATCTTGAGCTGATCGTTCACCTATTTCGAGTGAGGGGAAAAAGAGAGAAAAGTTACTCACGTGACATGGTAAAGCTCTTTTGTTACCTCTGCTATTGCCATTCCAAACATCTCCGCGGTCTTGCCATTGGGATTGTGTTCTTTGAAACTACCTTCCATTTTTCCCCAGTGCCTCCATTTGAACGCGACGGTGGGAGGCCCGGAGAAGACCTCAAGAACTTCCCACGCAAATCCATTGGGAAAAACTCCACGAAATATCTCGTGAGACGATTCGAAAGTCTCCTGCGAGGATTTGTAGAGCGGAGGATTGTTTGCTCCTCCATGTTCTAAGCTTGCGAGCAGCGCATTGTAGCTTCCAGCGCGAAGAAGCTCCTCGCCAGTCATGGTTTTACCTCCTGGATCATAGATTTACAGGGTAGCAAATCACAAGAACAAGAACAATGGTTACCATTGACGGAGAAAGAGAAATTTTCAGCATCGATGCTCTTGAAATCCTTGATTCTTGTCTTGTGTGTCAGCTCCATCTCCCATGTCTTGACTAGATTCTGGACTGTCTCCTCCAGAGACCCAGGCTTCCAATCCTGCGTAAACAGCGTGATTGATCAATCAAACGATTTTTCTCCATGGAGATCTCATATATCTCTCACCTTGGTTCGCCCGGATCGGAATGTGCGATTGACAAGATCATACTCTGGCGCTTCCCCGAGCCTCCACACGGTATCTTTCTCGGTGTCTCCATGCAAGAAGCTGCGATACTCACCCCCCTTCTCGAGCTCCAAGTCTTTCACGCTCGAAGCGATTTCTTCCATAGTTCTAAATTTCCCCTTTTCTCTTTTGAAAGAAGTCGGTCAGTAAGCTGAAAACATAAAGGCCTGCCATAGTCATTGTTTGACTTTATTGCAAAAGTCATACTTATTCAAAATGAAATTGATTGAATGTCACATCATAGCCTTGACAAAGTTTGCATTTACAATTGTATCGCTTTCTGAGATCGCATTAAGCTCGCGGTCAAGCCAAGTGCCCAGTGTATAATAATTTAATATTATAGTAACATAGTAATTTTTTTCTATACTTGGATTTTGGCGCCTCACCTTGGCAAGCAATTTGCAAATGATTTAGCCAAATTCATGCAAAATATCGTGCTCCTATGACGTGTTTGGATGGAAACTTATGATTTTTCATTTACATGCATGGATTTTCCATGTTTGACCAGAATGATTACCATGCTCATTGTCAAGTCCTAGATTCTCTATTCTAATAGTTAAAGTTTCAAATTATATAATCTTTAGTCTTCTTTTACCTATTCTAACCATCCTTTCTTACTTCTACACTATATACTAGATCTTTACACGCCCAATATGTTTTGGGGGCATAGATCACTACTTTCTCGGTCCCTTGACTCTGATTTACTTTATCACCTTGGTGGGGTCACAGCCACTTCGAGACAAAGAAGGTAATCTGCACTTTATCCTTGAATTTCTGTAAAAATTACCAAGGAAAAAAACGATTTCGCTATTGACAAAAGAAGCAATGAGAAGTCTGGTGTTGAATATCTTATGCATCAACACTATCAATTTCTGACATGATGGAGGTCACTCCCCATAGAATAGCACCAAGGGATTTAGATAAACTGCCTGGATGATTGTCTCTGCTGTTGTCTGTCAATGTCTTCTGCTGTCTCCACCTCTAGTGTGCCTGGTGTCAGCCACTCCTTCTGGGGTTTGGGTCTCTTGTGCTTCCGGCCTGTGACTTGCTGGTGCCATTTGGGTAATGGTTGATGTAGTGACGCTGCAAGTGCATGCATCATATTTATCACGACGGCTTGGTGTGTGACTTCAATCTCTTGTAAGAATTCACACAATTGGATCATCCATCTTGTACTACAGAGGATGACATGAAGGTCAGAGCCCCAGGGGATGGGTGGCCTGCAGAGGTGTTTATATGTCAGATAGTCATTGATGACATAGTTCACATCCTCCACTTTTTCAAGACATGTGGGGCAAAACTGCAGTTCTCACAGGATCTTCAGCTTGGTGTGACATCCTAACTCCTCCCTGAGTTGATGCTATCCCATTAGTTAGCTTGCGAGAATCTTTCTGTTACAAGGTATGAGGTTGTTATATCCTGCAAAGCTAAATTGTTGATATATGCTGATTGTGATAATGTAGTTGTTATAGAAAACGTTATCTAACATCTGCAGCATGCTTGGAGAGCGTGTCACATTCAATATTCAAGGTCTTTAAATAGCTCTGTAGGGAGTCCAGGTCCAGCCTCAATGGCTTCTAAAGGAGAATACCAAATATCGATAAAGACAAGATTAAAGAACAACATTGAAAATCATGCCACCATCTGTTTTTTTTTCTGAGTTTGCCATCTCCTATGACTCATGAATGGTAGCATTCGCTAGTTTTTTATGGTGCAGGAAGTACCTGCTACGAACGTATGTGAGACAGCTTCTCCATGTGAGGATCTCCAGTGGAAGAAACCCGATGTCAAGAACAAGGATTGGGTAGGGGTCTTGTATATGCCAAACTCTGTTGAAAGAAATCGTTTATTGAAAGCCTCCAATTTATCCCACAGGTTCTGGCTAAGTTTTGGGGCCCAGCACTCCAGTGCCACTATCGTCAACTTTGTCATATAGTACATGTGCTTGATGCCCCACTAGTGGACATTCACTTCGTGGCAGTCAGATTGAAGTAGAACACACACTCAGGCTACAGTGTGATGTGTTCTTCGACTCTTGTCTTCCACGGATGGTGTTGGTTGATAGTGTATTGTAGATACTTATAGGTGTCAATTCACTCCAATGGTTATCCTTTGCATGTGAGTGTTCAGCCATCATTGTATCTAAAGACCATCACCTTGGTTTTGGTGTTGTTTACATCAAGCCTATTGCCATTACAGAAAGCGGCAAGTGTGTCAATTTGCTGCTGAAGTCCTTGGCTACTAAGGGTAGGTCATCTATGTCGAGGAGAAGAAGATAATTGAAGATGGTGTCTATCTTGCCATAATTGTTTCCAAATTTTCAATAAACAATCCAAAAAATGTGGGAGAAAGTATTGCATTCCCATGTCACACTTCACCTAGACTCAATCCAATGTCCACTTTGATTCTCGTAGAGTCTTTAGATGAGTTCCAGAGGGATGTCAAGCTTGTGTAAGCGTTGGAAGAGTTTGCTATGTGAGACTTGATTAAATGCCTTGACAATGTTGACATAGCATGTATAGATGGATTGAGATGAAGTGCAATGGAGCATTTCAAAAATGACCTCACTATAATTAAGTGATCGATGCACGAGTTATGTAGGTAGAAGCTGGCTTGTTCAGTTGCTCTACACTCTTGCCACTCCATCCATGCAACAAATTATTTCTCAACTACCTTTGCCAAGAGTTTCGCAAAAATTGCGAAGATCATGACTATGCAATAGTTGGTCATGCAGCCTTGTGGATTGGTTCCACTTGGTTGATGTTCCATGATGCCGGGAATCTTAGTTCGAGGATCTCATTGAAAAGCTCATAGAGAATTGGAGCTAACCAATTGAAATCTAGAGAGCTGTAGACGTCAGCTCCATATCTTCAGGAAAGTTCCTAAATAGCGTCTTTCACCGTTCTACCATGATCCCAAAATGTCCAAACTATTGGTGAAGATGGAGGGCTGTTCAATTTATAGAGTTGGTGGATGTGTTGGATCCATGTGTCCATGTCCTCAACAATCACCAATTGACGAAGATACAATATGCTCTTGAGGGTTGGTGGGCTTGCCGAATATTCATGAGCTTAGTGTGGAATTGGGCCCTTGCAACTTTACAAAAATGTAGCTGCAGAGCACAGCCTGTTGGGAGGCCCTCTCGTTATGCTTCATGTAGGGTTTGGCATTCTTCATTCCACCATGGTTTGATTGGGAGGCCTGCATGTTGGCATGGCTTTCAGTGGCAGAGTGGAGTAGTTGCCTCTTGGAGAATTTGCACAAGGAGATTTTCTTGGAAACCTATTTTTGTGCAAGACTCCTATTGTGCTCATAGCTCTTTGATAGTCCTCTAGAGAATTGCCATGTCGAATGGTAGTAGCTGGAAGATGACTAGAGTCTTCACAGGCCATTCGACAGGTGTTGCATGGCTTGCTGTGAATGGAAAAAGCCAGCAGGCTATGGTTGGAAGCATTGACGAAGTCCATAAGTTTGAAGTTGGAGATGGTTGTGGCTGCAAAAGAGTCCCCCATTAAGTAATCGATGGTGCTGGCTTGGGGACACTGTTGCCATGGTGGAGACATGGTTGTGAAGCCCCTTGTTTGCGGGAATGCCAGCACCCCATTGAGAATCCAGACTTTTGCAGTTTGCAAAATTCAAGGAGCTTGTGACCTGTTCTTGTGTTGAACGTGTCTAAGCTATGGCGTATCCAGTGCGTATCTACCTGGTCATCTTTGCCTTGCTCGTCATGGATAGCATGATATGATCCCATGCGACTGTTGAAGTCTCCTGTGAGGATCACCAAGCAATACTCCAAGCAATGACTGTTTGGCCAGTGTCGTGAAAGGAAAAGGAGCACTAGTGATGTACTTTGGTGGGAAGTAGCAAACGAGCAGCACTGCATCTTGCTATCATGGGAGGTAATGCAAATGGTGAGAAAGTTGTTTTTATCATCCTGGTATTTCTATGAGACTTCGGTCATAACATTGTCCTTAATGTAGATAGTCATTGGGGGAGAATTGACACGTTAACGTTGAGGACTTGTGTGGGGGGGCTGATGCAGATTTGGGAGCTGTTGGCTATGGTGTTGATGGTGCCTTGGTGGCTGAAATGAATCAAGACCTGCACTCCATGTTGTATGCAGGACATTCCACGCTCCACCACATGATGCCGTGCTCCCACATCGCTCCCAGCCCCTCCCCAAACTCTATCACACCCCACGCATTGTGCCCAGTTTCCCTCCATATTATGCTACACTCTTCATCCAACTCTAGATTTGCTATTCTCTTCGAATGGGGGCTCAGTAGAGGATGAAGTATTGAATATTTGTGTGAAGTTGAAGCTGCCCATCTAAGCAATGGGTGTGTTCAGGTAGGCAGTGAGAGTTGTAAAATGATGAGAAAAAACCCAAACTGCATTACGATAAAAGCCATGTTGTGAAATCCATACCTTGAAATCCTTGTAGCTAATCATTGTTCATTGTTCTATCCATTGTCATAGACTTGTCAGGAGTTGTGTAGATAGTTGTGCATTATTTGGTAACATAGTCTGCTGATATTGTGATATTGTAAAAAGACAATGAAGAGTACTTATGCCAAAAGAGAAATGCCAAAAGGAATGGGAATCATTTTTTAAAATATTTTTTAATGTTGATTTTGTGAGGTTTGTATATTAGAGTGTATGGCTACAATGCTATACTAATATTAGCATAGTGGGATTTTGGTAGCTCTCAGATTAGTTTCAATCCAGATCACTTGCTCTTATATATAAATTAGAGTTTTTGGGTTAATTGATATACATATTTTTGTATTCCATTTCTATGCACTCATATTGGTTGAGGTGAGGGGTAATTTTGATTATCCCTGAAGAGTGCTTGGATTTGGATTTTGCTTTAAATCTAACTTTTACATTGTTTAGATCTTTTTTATAACTTTTCTTAACTTCTTTTTTATTCTTTCCTTTTCATTCATCTTCATGATAGAGTAGCAGCTTCCTCTTTATTGCTTGATACTATATGGGTTCAGTTGAACAATCAAACTTAGTTGATGATGGCATTCATAATGTATGGTACAACTCTTTTTGCTCTTGTTGCTAATCCTCAAGTCCAACTGAAGTTCTTCTGTGGGAATCCTATGAATGATGTGTATAATTGGTTTGATCACTTTATGGTGATTG